GGATCAGGCGACCGACGGAGGTGGCAGGGTGGAATAGCGCGCGACAACAGCCTCTAGAAACTCATGCGCAGTCCTAACCGACCTAAAGCGGGGGCGCTCGGACTAGGGGAGGGCATGGCTAATCGCAAGCTGTGCGACAGCATCACGCGACATTCAGACAGCACGGACAAGGGCAGCAGCAGCAGCGGACTCACGGTCAGCAGACGTGGGGTCAGCGGGTAGAGCAGCAGGGGGGTCCGGGCAGGGGAGTGTACCTTCGATGTGGACGGCCAGGGAGTGGCCGTCCTGCCGCTGACCAGTCAGGTGTCGTTGGAGGTTGACGAGCCACGAGTCGAACTCAAACGGCTGCCCCTCCGCATCAAAACGCATGACCGAGTCCGCCATCATGGTCGCTGCGGCAGCAGAAAGGCGGTACTGAGCAGTAGGGTGCGGCGGAAAGCAGTGATGTGCGGTGCAGTGCGGTACAGTGCGGTGGAGGGGAGGTGCAGTACGGTATGGGTGCGGTGCATTGTGGTGCAGCGCAGTGTAGGGCGGTGCAATGCAGTTTAGAGCGGTGCAGTGCGGTGCCAGGCGGTGTAGCACGGTGTAGAGGGCCAAGGACAGCGGCGAGGCATCTAGGAGACGGGGCCGCGGGCTACGAGGCGACGGGGCCGGCTCGGCGTGGAGGCTACAGGGCCGGCTCTGCGTGGAGGTGACGGGGCCGGCTAGGCTACGGGGTGGCTAGGCAACAGGGCCAGCAAGGGGACGGGGCTGGCCGGACGACGGGGCCTGCTAGGCGACGGGGTCGGCTAGGAGGCGGGGCCGGCTGGGAGTCGGGGCCGGCTGGGCGACTAGGCCGGCGAGGAGACGGGGCCGGCTGGGAAGCGGGGTCGGCTAGGAGGCGGGCCGGCTAGGAGACGGGGCCGGCTGGGCGACAGGGCCCACTAGGCGACGGGGCCTGCTGGGTGACGGGGTCGGCTAGGAGGCGGGGCCGGCTGGGCGACGAGGCCGGCGAGGCGACGGGTTCGGCTAGGAGGTGGAGTCGGCTAGGAGGCGGGGCCGGCTGGGCCATGGGGCCGGTTAGGCGACAGGGCCGGCACGTGCGGGAGGGGGACAGGGCGGCTAGGACCTAGGGCGGAAGCGCTAGTGGGCGGGGGGGACCTAACCTATTTATGATACCATATTGAAGTAAAATAATAACTAGACAATGACATACTATGGAATATAACCTAATGGGTTGTACTCCCTAAGGCACAACCTATATAGTCTATAGCAACGTGCAATATATGTTTGACAGGCGGTATGCTAGGGGCCGGCAGGTACGCTAGGGGCCGGCGGACGCGCTAGGGGCCGACGTGGTGAGGCAGGGGCTGGCGGGGCGCTAGGGGCAGGCGGGGCACGGTAAGGCTAGGGTACGATGGGACGGTAGGCTAGGGTGAGGGGCGGAAGCGGGTGGGCGAACCTTACCTACTATGATACCAAGTTAGAATACAAGAATGAATAGAAACAAGGGAGAACAAGGGAGATATAGGGTTGGAGTTGTACCCTCTAAGAACACACACCTATCTAGCCTATAACTTCTACATACAAATGCATATATAAGTTGACACCAAAAACGCTTATGTATATGACAGGACCCTGGGGTCTTTTATCCAGGCGCTGATGGTATATTTGTATATGTTATAGGCTAGATAGGTGCATGCTCATAGGGAGTACAACACAACCTTATATTCCCTTGTATGCCTTGCTTCTGGTCATTCCGCTACTCTAAGACGCTCTTAGTCGGGTCAATTTACTACTGGGAATACCGTACATTATGGTAACGAATAACGCTGAGGGCGAACATAATTTCTGCTACTGTAATCCCCCGTATAAAACACCCGCCGGAATTAAGCTCCCCTGGGTGGCTTGAGCGGGTATGGGTGTTTAATTTAACTGGATTTAGTTACCACCCTACCCTTGGCATTGAAACCATTTGACCACCCTCCCCCGAGATGGAAAATCGTTTTTTCTACGTTTTGTTGTGTACAACTTCTTGAATTAGACGTTAGCAATACAACTAGAGTACACCTAGTCACTACTCGGCTAAAATTCACAACTGAACTAGCTAGTGGCACCACCTGGAGCTTGAATCCTTCCTACTGGCTCTGCCTAGAACCTATATTAACCACTACACTTTAAATCATTACACTACGCCAGATACTCATGCCTCTGCCACTGCTCTAGTCGTCCTCCTCAGGCTCCTCATCACCAGCCTGCCACATCTCGACGTCGCTCCCATCTGCAAGCTCATCCCACCAGCAGTTGTCGTCATCCTCCTCTGCAATGCCTTCTGCCGGCCACACATCAACACTTGCTGCTACTGCTGATGCAGTCTCTGCATTGTCTGCGCTCGTCTCAGCTGCTTTGGTTGCCGCTTCAGCAAAGTCGATGTCGTCAGCCGCCAGCGACGCCGCATCTGCCTCTTCGTCGTCGGCGACGTCCCCGTCCACATCGATGAAGGCGTCGTAGAGGGGGTTGATGTAGCCGCTCTCGCCCTCCTCGGCGTGGACATCGTCCATCACCTCAAGGTCGGGCTTGCCGCGGAGGTGGCGGAGAGTGAGGTTGTCCTCGGTGCCATCCATCGCATTTGATATCCCGCATGTCTTGAATGAACTCCGCACGAGCTCCTCTGGCACAGCCTCCCATGACCGAGCAATCCATTTCAAGATGAGCTCGGCCGGGGGCTTCTTCAGATTTCCTACACATGGGACGGGAGCATGATGGGAGGAGAAGAACACGGGCACGGTGAGATAACGACTGGGAACGGGCACGGTGGAATTCGTCAACAAGCAAGAAGTCTAATAACGATTGAGGAAGCGACTAGGAAGGGGCTCACCTGCCGCAGTCTTCAGGTCGATGCCAAACTGCTCAAACCATGCGCCGTAGTCGCTGCGCATGCCGGCCTTGAAGCTCTTGTTCACTTGCGACGTCCAGCGGTTGAACGAAAGGCGTACAACCACCGAGGATGACCGCGCGAGTAAGTTTGCACAGCTTCATCGTCTGCCCGACTGCTTGCGTGGGGTGGCCCTTGTACGAGTCCAGGATGACGAGCGCCTCCTTGCGCCTATTCCTCGCTTCGCGCAGCGGGCGCAAGAACGGGTTCAGGACTTGAGTAGTCCAGTCCTGGACAAGCTTCTCGTCCATCCAGCCCTTCGGCTGGGCTCGGATGATGACACCTGGATACAATCACAAGCCACAACGACAGTCAGAGGGTATGCATCGGTGTACACTATGCCCAGAGCGAAAAGCAAAGGCGATTCTTACCCGGGGGAACCTGAATCTTTGGCAGCGTCTTCCGCTTGAAGATGACATACGGCGGGAGCTTCAATCCCGACTCGGTGACCGCCAACATGACGGTGAGCCGCTCCTTTTCATAGCCGGCCGTCCTCACATGCACCGTACGAGAGCCTCTGTGCTCCAATGTCCTCTCCTGGAGCATTTCGATGAAGAGGGGGGTTTGGTCGGTGTTCACGATCTGGTCGAGGTTGTACCAGTTGAGAATCCGCATCTGTTTGACAAACTCCCAGAATTTCTCGATCTTCGTCCTCATGTCTGCCTAGAACAAAACAGTCGGAGAACAAATTCAGGCGTGAACACGCGAGAAGCAAGACAATCAAAAGAATCAAATATTGAAAGTCGCGGCAAGGGATCGAATAACAAGGATGGGACGACAGTTTACCGTCGACGAGCTTTTGCACCATCTTCGTCTTTACCCGACGCATAAGGCCCCAGCGTGCGCGGAATCTGAACGTCCAGTGACTCGACGCTCTCCAGTCGACGTCGGGATGATGTACGCGCATGTATGAGCAATTCCATTTCTGCAGCAGCTTGACGGAGACGGCAAGCCTCCCCACGCTGTGCCTCAGGAAATGTCGGTAGAGGGCGCTCTCCATCATCGGGTACTTCGCGGGACGTCCGGCACCGACGAGGCGTTTGCGGCAGCCGGCGGCGACACGGAGGCGTTCGCCAGCATTCTTCCACTCCCGAATCGACACCGGCTGGACACCTGCAAGCTTTGCGAGTCCACGCACAGAGAGGTCGGGTTGAGCATCGAACATGGCAAGCCAGTACAACTTCTCCGAGGCAGAATAAGAGCGGCGCTTCCGCTTTGTCATCCTACTTCGAGATGCGGGGGCATGGACATCGTGATTCAAGGTAGGACCACGGGGTCATCGATTGGGCTCCGGGAAACTCGGCACGCTGACGCGGGGCAGGGGACGACGCCCTTCCGTCGTAGTGGCGTCGCCGCTTGCAGAATCTGTCGCAGCGGCGTCGCCGCTTGCAGAATCTGTCGCAGCGGCGTCGCTGCTTGCAGAATCTGTCGCAGCGGCGTCGACGCTTGCAGAGTCTGTCGCAGCGGCATCGCCGTCGGCAGAGGACCGACAAAGTAAAAACGTCTGCTGGCCATAAGGGCCCTTTCGAGTCAGAAGGCGAGACAAGCCAGAGCCTGAGGCCATGGCAAGGGGACGTTACAGAGACGGAGCTAGAGGATGCCTTAGACAGCCCTTGCAGGGGCTGTCTTGAAGGCATCCTGGAGTCGAAACTGAAAATGAGGGGACGGAGCGGGGTAGACCCACTTCAAGAGTGGGTTGGAGGGGAAGGCAGGGACGTGGGCGACTCCCTCGTCCCTGTTTCCCATGAAATGCCTCTCACGAACATCCAAAATGTGTGATTCCATGCGCTGGCCGGTCGTGAGAAGGCATCGACGGAATGTGCTGTTTATTACGCCATCCCATGCTGTGCTGGCACAACGTGGGTTGGAGGCATCAAGGTGGCTGCCTGCAGCACAAGCTGATTGGCTACTCTGGCAGCATACTGAATCAGCCGCTTACGTAGACGATGTGGCATGCACATGGACCAAATCGTTGGGTACGCGATCAGATAGCAGAATGGGACTCCATACTCAGAACAATGCCCTGTCACAAGTACAGTTGAATTCAAATCAAAAATTGCATATGCACATTCCATAACTCCTGGGTGCTGTATTTTTTTTGCCTTTAATTACACCCAACCCAAAATTTCCTTGCATTTTTATTAACACCATAGGGTGTTTTATACGGGGGATTACGGTATCAGAAAACTCTCTAACGGCCATGAACATAGTCTGAAACACGGAGTTTGATTTTCACACCGAAGGTGGGACACTGTATGTGCCACTCGAAGCGAAGTACTTGTACCCCCCAGTGGCGTACACTTTATACCTGTGGGAAAATCATGTAGTTAATACATGGGAAAAACAGATTTTAGAGTTGTTGTTACACAGCAAACTAGGTAATACTTCTGGCTTGAACAGAAGCAAGAATAAGCAGCCGGAAGAAAAGGCTTATGGTGACCGTCAGGCATCAAGGGCCACTGTTCAGACATGTGTCGCAACATCATAGGGCACATGGTGTCGCGCCGCATAGGGCGTATGGTTATGTTAGTGCAGTACAATAGTTAGTATGGTTATGAAGCAGAATCAGGACCTTGGGGGGTCAGAATATACTCACCGTTGACAGTAGATGGACAGAAATTTCAGGGACGTACTTGAATGAACTGCCAGGGCCTCTAAACTCAGTCAGCCTTATGCCATGGTCGAAATTGCACACATCTCAGTTTTTTTAAGAGCTCTGAGAAATGACTCCACTTTTTGATAACTCTCAGAAAAACGCGGCGTGTGGATGAGGAACGTGGAGACGCTTTCTCAGGAAACGAGCGGCATGCTAGGGCGGGGAGAATGAACAGCATGCTAGGGCGGGGAGAATGAACAGCGTGCTAGGGCGGGGAGAACGAACAGCATGCTAGGGCGGGGAGAACGAACAGCATGCTAGGGCGGGGAGAATGAACAGCATGCTAGGGCGGGGAGAATGAACAGCATGCTAGGGCGGGGAGAATGAACAGCATGCTAGGGCAGGGAGAACGAAATGCTAGGGCGGGGAGAACGAACAGCATGCTAGGGCGGGGAGAACGAGCAGCATGTTAGGGCGGGGAGACCGAACAGCATGCTAGGGCGGGGAGAACGAACAGCATGCTAGGGCGGGGAGAACGAGCAGCATGTTAGGGCGGGGAGACCGAACAGCATGCTAGGGCGGGGAGAACGAACAGCATGCTAGGGCGGGGAGAATGAACAGCATGCTAGGGCGGGGAGAACGAACAGCATGCTAGGGCGGGGAGGACGAACAGCCTGGGGGGGGGAGAGAAGGAACAGCATACGGCGTAGAATGAAGGGGAAGAGGAGACTTACAGAGAAGGACGAGCACCAGCGGAACAGCCAGCCCGAGAGCAAGGAAGCGCGCCATTGCGACAAGAGTCTATCTCCGTGAGTGAACCAATAGAGGGGATTGCGGCTACTCCTTTGAGCAACCCGGCAGCCTGAGGCTGACAGTGAGGTCCTTCAGCTGAGAAAAAGGACGAACCCAGTAGTACTCGTTGCGAGGAGGAGCTTCAATGAGGCTTCTTCTCTTCTACGAAGTTCTGTTTCCACCGAGTGAAGGCTAGTTCTCGGGAAGGCTAGTTCTTGGGAAGGCTAGTTCTCGGGAAGGCTAGTTCTCGGGAAGGCTAGTTCTCGGGATACTTGGACTAAGAGAACGGAGGGGATGATGCTACGGATGCCGAGTGAAGAAGCCCTGCTACTGACGCCGAGAGCAATCGTGACGACCCCTTGCTCATCGGCGCCTGCCTCTTATTCGTGGTGCCACCAGCGCGCTCGCGGGCGAAGGACGGACTCCGTACCGTAGAGAGTGTCCGCGGCGGTGGTTCAGGGAGGCCCGAGTTGGATTGGTTTCGGAGCAGGCCCGAGCTGCAGGTGAGGCCTCCTCCGCTCCACGCCGAGCCTGCCGAGCCTTCGTCGATGGCTCGGGAGAAGGCCGTGCGATGTGATGCCCCCTGCGCTGCTTGATGGGCGGCAAAAGGGGAATGATGGGAGCGCGGAGGGCGGAATGATGGGAGCGCGGAGGGCGGAATGATGGGAGCGCGGAGGGCGGAATGATGGGAGCGCGGAGGGCGGAATGATGGGAGCGCGGAGGGCGGAATGATGGGAGCGCGGAGGGCGGAATGATGGGAGCGCGGAGGGCGGGATGATGGAGCGCGGAGGGCGGGATGATGGGAGTGCGGAGGGCGGATGGAGCCCAGCGCTGCCTTCAGGGCGGACAAGGCGCGGAGCTGTGCTGGAGGCCGGAGCTACTAGCTAGTAGCGGGAGGCCTGGCGATGGGTGGAGGCCCCCTCCATTCCCAGTGCCGCCCAGTGCCGAGCCTTCGTCGATGGCTCGGAGAACGACATTGCGATGCGACCGCCGAGCAATGCGGTCGACTCGATCGTCGTACGGCAGCATTTGTTTCGAGCATGGAGACAACTGAGAAACTAACAAGGTCGGTTTAGACGTCCTAGACTGAGTTGGTTGGTAGACGCCACTACTGATGCCGCGCGTGCGGGGCTAACTTTCAAAATCAGCCGTTGACACCTTGCGCGCTAGGTGGCTTGGCTAGCAGACAGCCTCTTTGGGGCTTATTATGGCGGGAAAGACGTACACGTACAGCCACGAGGCTGATCGAGGGACACGTGGGCGAACAGCTCACCAATCGCCAGCGCCCACATAAGCGTCGATCAATCCTGTCACTATTGATGTGCGGTTCATTATGAGAAAATTGGACTTTGAGAGGAGCTGGAAACGGTCGTGCAGGATACGACACATTACTTTGTGGTGCAGAGGTGAAATGCTATTCACATATGGTTCCCCCCCTACTCATTGCTTAATCTCTCCCAACTCCACCCAACCCAACCAAGCCGATTCCCCCGCCCAAGCTGTCAGGTGTGCGTGGTGTGGTTGCTGCCAAAGTGGGTGGGGCACCCCCCGCGCCACCCTGCTGTGTGCTGGGGAGTCTGGGGACATAAACACGACACCATTTGCTAGGGCCTTGCTCCGTGCTTTTTCCTGCCAAGCATACTGTACTTCGATTAGTTTCCCTCCCCCAAACCCAAGTTAGCCGCCTCCAAGCTCAAATTGTTACGCGCAATACGCTAGCGTGTCCTGTCCCTCAGGGTTTAGCGACAGCCCCAGGTAGGGGCATAAACATGGTCATAGAATCTACTTGAGCTAATGCCTAATGATCCAATAAGCTCTGATGGACCTCACAAATTACAACTTGGAACTTTGAAAGAAAACGGCACACAAGCGGTCAATAGCAAATTTAGAAGCCAACAATCTGCATTGAGGCTTCCCAGTATGGTCATCATCATCATGCCACGCCACAGCAACAGCCGCATCCACACCTAAGTGAAAGCTGGCAAAGCCGGGCAGCACGGTAATCACAAAGAGTCAGCAGAAAGGAAAGGAAATCAAAAGCAAATGTGTATTCTGAAAGCGGAAGAGGAGCCACTCTCAGCGCACAGAAGAAAGCGATTCTCCTGTGGAACGTTCTTGAATCGAGGGAAATTAGTCACGGAACCGGGAATGGAGATCCAGGTGCGTTCCAGGGAGGTGGAGGAGGACAGCTCTGTCCAACGACGATGACCGCAGCTGCACGGCAGACCCCGCACCAGCATCACCACCCCCAGGAAGGAGCCACGAACCACCGCTTCCCGTGCGTGTGAGAGAGTCAGCAGAAGCGAGTCAGCAGGAGCGAGAATAGCGCCCGAGGAAAAGAAAGGACGAAGTATTGCTCAGGATTCGCCGAAGCGCCTCCACATGCCGTGAAGACCAGCGGGCGCGTCACGTGTAAAGCCGTGTCAGAAATCCGTCAGTGATTGTCAATCGAGGTAATGACCGGACCGCCCACCCAACGTAGATCGAACGTTGGCTCTGGTGGTCGCGCCTCAATCAAATCGTCGCGCGGTGATTCACTCGAAGGCGATCGCGCGCATCAGGCGGCGGATACCCTCCGATCGCATCATCAGCGCCGTCCGCGCGCCGCCCAGCTTGCGCATTTTGCGCGGCGCGTATGGGCACTCCGTGGCCGGCGCGATCATTACGTTGGGGGTCTGCGGGACGGAGGAGGGCGGGCCGAGGAAGAGCATCGACGACGAGGTGCGGGACGGCGACGAGGGCGGCTCCCGAGGCGACAGCGACGGCTCGGAGGATTCCGAGGCTGTGTCGAAGGCTTGGTCGCGAGTACGGCGGCGAGGTGGTGATGTCACTTCTGAGGGAAAAAAACGCAGAAAAAATGGAGAAAGCGAGAGTTTTAGAACAGGAGGAATAGCCAATGTAACAGAAGGATGCAACAGGCAGTGCAGCTTAACGTAGCAAACCTTCACCCCTGTCGTCCAAAAAAACATCCAAGGCTTCGAACCGTAGTAGGCCGTCGAAGGAGATAAGAATGCGCGGAAAACACCTCGTGGGGTCTCCGCAACCCCAACCAGAAATCCAAGGGTTCACGCAACCTACATTCTACCCCGCCTCAGACATTCCCGCATCGCACCGACCATTACAAACGATGATCTTACCAGGCTCAGACATGTCGCCCGAATCCTCATGCTCTGGCGACGCGACGCCGCCCATGGCTTTCAGCACAGCCTCCCCGTCCGTGGGGCTGCTGCTGGCGCTGGTGGTTCCGCCGCCGCTCGGCGCGCTTATCCGCACGCGGTGGTTGCGGCTGCTGGTGCGCGCGACGCGCGTGAGGTTGCACACGGCCTGCTGGCTCCACGGATTCAGCACCGAAGAGGCGTCCATGGCGATTCAGTGCTGCTGCGATGCGACGCGATCCTACGGTTGGATTTCGAAGCTCTGATTCTTGACCTAGGGCGTGCGATGACACGGGAGATACTGGAGGAACTGGCTACCCGAATGCAGCAACAGATGCGGAACTGCTGCTCTAACTTTACGGCGTTGCTCGTTCTGGATGGAATAGGCAAAAGACCCTTCAGGCAGGCGGATTCAGGGGAGAAATAGCTTTGGCAGGGAGGGGAGGAGCAGGGCTTAGATGAAGAGTTGCAGGAGAGCAGCTGCAGGAAACAGGGCAACTTGGGCTTAGAGGGGTTTCCCGTCGTTTTCGGGCGTTGGTCAGGGCAAGGTTTGGGCGGAATGGCAGGGAACAGAAGACGTCAGGAGACGAGGGTTTGCTGCTTCCGTATGGCTTACGACTCCCGTCAAGGGCGAGGCAAAGCGGAGGAAAGGGGGTACTTGGGGATTCTTGGGCAGGCTCGAAATTTGACGACAAGCAAGGAGATCGTGCTGGGCTTGGAGATGGCGAGGGCAGAGAGGGAGAAACAAATGAATCCTGGTCGGAGGAATTGGCTCGGGCTGAAGCTTTATGGAGTGAGGGGGTTCGGTTCGGCCGCGGAAAGGGGAATTGGTGGTGAGGTGTGGGTTTCTGGAACTGTAGGTCTGGTGTGATGCGTCCGCTCGCAGCTGTTCGCTTGGCTCGGGCGAGGCGAACGACGCGTGCTTTGCGACCCGGTTGCGATGAAACACCTGCAGGTCTTGCTTGAGGGCTCTATCGTGCGCTTGCTGCCAGGGTGTGCCTTGAACCAAACCAAGTCCTGGCGAAACCCCAGCCACAATGTCTCGCGGTTCGGCAGCACTGGTTTCTGGTTCGGTCCAAACGAGCCTGTCTGAGGCGTGGGTCTGGATTAAGGGTGCAAGCCCAGTTCGGGTCGCCCCAGAGAGAAAATATTCAGTTTCGCATTTTCCGCTGACTCTCGTCGACCGTCCAGTGAGGTGGCGTGTAATTAGCGGGAACGTATTTCGCGCTTTTTTCTACAAGCACCCCTCCCCCAACTGAGCGAAGGGTTGTGTGTGGGACGCCCCATTGCACTGTAGACGAGGTGCCAGTGCAGAACGAGTACGAAGGAAGCAGCCTGGTTCTTCAGGGTACAAGACATGATTGCGTGAGCTGGCAACGAAAAATCAGCGAGGGAGTGAGTTTCCCGCACATTTTGAATGAGAATTTTGTGCCTCTGACGCATGCTCGTACCCCCAGATTGGCCGCTCGACCAATGGAGGGACTGTTTTCCCCCTCGTCAGGCCCATGATAAATTCTGCCAAAAATATTGGCTTGAAGATTCCTAGAAGCGAGACTGGAGTCAAGAGGAATTCGCTAGACCCAAGCACCACTCAAATTTATAGCGAAGTCAAGTTTCAACACACCACGTAAGCCATCTACATGCTTGACAACAACTATTAGGAAATGTAGGGAAATGGTATTTCCTTATCCTGGGTTTTAATCACTAATGCGCACACTGCTATAACGGGGCTCCCGCGCAGTCTGCCACGAATTTCATATCATGGCACCCAGATGCCGTCTTCTGACAAGCCACATACATTTTGCCCAACTTGCAGTTTCATGCTGGATTTGGGCGTTTCACACCAATTTACAACCACACGTTTGTGTCAACAGACATATATATAGATGTATATATACATTAGTCTAGTTAGGCTATTAATATTTGTATAGCCTAGCTAGCTCAGCTATTAGAGAGGAAAACACTTGTGTACTTGTATCCCCCACCTTTTCAATTCCTAGAAAAATTTCTCGCGCTATTCTAACATAGCATCGAATGCTAGGTTTAGGATCCTCCTAACGCTTCCGCCCTAGCACACGCCCTCGCCCTAGCCTAGCGCGCTTCGCCCCTAGCCTCGCGCCTCGTCGCTAGCCCCTCTTCCCCCCCCCCCCCCCCCCCCAATCTGCTCCCCGAGTACCCCGCGTCAGCCACCGCCCGAGCCAGCTCGCCAGTGCCAGCCGACGCCAGCCACGACCAGCTAGAGCTAGCCGCAGCCAGCCGCCAGCACTAGCCGCGCCGGCCGCCAGCCGCCAGCACAAGCAGCGTGCTACCAGCCGCCAAAGCTAGCCGCCGGCCACGATCGCCAACAGCCCGCGACCAGCACCAGCCGCCAGCTGCCAGCGCCCGCAGCGCCAGCAGTGCGCCAGCCGCCAGCCGCCAGCGTCAGCCGCCAGCCCATACCAGCCAGTGCCAAAGCCAGCTCGTCAGCGCCAGCCAGCGCCAGCAAGCCAACGGCAGCCAGCCAGCAAGCCACCGCTGGCCAACCAGCGCCAGCACCAGCCAGCCAGCGCCAGCCAGCCAACACTAGCCAGCCAGCGCCAGCAGCCTACTACCAGCCGCCAGCACTAGCAGCGCTAGCCGCCCGCCGCCAGCCGCCAACACCAGCATTGCTAGCCGCACTCTGCCAGCGCCAGCAGCCAGCGCTAGCCGCTTGCGCCAGTAGCGCTAACCGCCTACCGCCAGCGCCAGCAGCCAGCGCCAGCCGCCGCCTGCTACCAGCTTACTGCCAGCTAGCCGCCACCACCGCCTTACTATCACTCGCTACTCCCACTGTCAGCCTGCCGCTAGCCGCCACTGCCAGGCCGCCGATCCGGCCACAGCTCCACTGCTGCTATTTCCATTGGCGTTTCTACAGCCTCTAGCACCTCCCGCTAGTCTCCTCCTCATTTCTAGAGTTCCTCGACGCCGCTCCTCTCGGCATGGCGACCTCAGTGCCGTCAGTCCCTCGGCCAGACCGTCGGACAGTTCCCTTCGCTCTCTGGCTTCTCGCTCACCACCTACAGCTGGTGAGCCCACACGTTGACTGCACACGCGTGGAGGACCTCATCATTTCGCTCCTTGGTCGGGCTCCACAAGCTCGAGGTACGCTACTCTTAAAGTAGGACTGAATGTCGAGAGAAAAACGTACAAGGGTATATGCCTAAGATATGAACCTATACAGCCTATACAAATATAACCTATATATATGTTTGACACACCCCCTAGACTGCATAGGTGCAGTTCCTGATGAGAGAAATGGCAACTCAGGGCGGCACTACTAGTCCAACCTCTGAGTCAAGGGTCTAAAGACCAGTCAAACAAGTACAGAGCAATACAAGGGCAAGGCCAGGGCGGCACTACTAGTCCAGCCACTGGGAGAGGCCACAAGGCCAGTCAAGAATAAACAGAAGTACATATAAAGGTCAGTACATAGTCAAGGCCCTAGCAGGTGAGAGGTAACAGGAACAAGGCCAAGGTGTACACAGTGCCGCTGATGATCTTTAGGCGCAAGGGCCTTCGTAAAGATATCAGCTGTGTTGGCACCAGAGGTCAAGTGTACTACGCGAGCCTGGGGATGCTGCTGCAGCTCGCGCAAGAAGAAGTACCGCAGCTGGATGTGCTTTGCTGGGCCCTCGAGGCTCCTAACACAGGAGGATCATGGCCCTGTTGTCAGCGTACAAGACTGGTGCAGAGCTAGGCTGCTCACCGAAGTCAGTGAGCAGGAAGGTCAACCAGCGGAGCTCTGGTGCCGCCATGGCACCAGCGTAGATCTCAGCCTCATAGCTGGACTGGGCAACAGACGAGGAGCGAGTAGCTCTCCACGAGACAGCACCTGAACCAAGGCTAAAGCAGTAGCACTGCGAGGACCTAAGGGTCTTTGCGTCGTCTGCCCAAGAAGCGTCTGTGTGCCCAGTAAGGACCACCGGCCTACGTCCTCCCAGCACTAACCCCATGCCTGATGTACCAGCGAGATAACACAAAACCCTCTTAGCTGTAGACCAGTACTGAGGTTTGTGTCTGCCTGTGGCCACAAAGCGAGCCAGCATGCTGAGAGGGTATGCGAGATCTGGACGAGTGCAAGTCATCAGGTACATGAGGCAACCCACCAGCTCTGCGTAAGGACCACTGGGCTCTGTTGACTCCTCAGGAACTGGAGCAGAGAGCCTGTGATCTACTGGCAGAGGTGTGGGCTGTGCGGAGGAGAACTAAAGGCGGAACCTCTGAAAGATCTGGCGCACCAAGTGTGACTGGTTGAGAGTGATGGTGCGCGCTGCACTGTCTCTGGAGATCTGCAGGCCCAGGTAGTAGCGCAACACTCCTAGGTCAGTGCAGATACAGTGACGGAAACATTTGTCCGGATGTTTTGCATTATTCAGGTTTTTTTTGCTTTCCGACCACTGTACATAAAGTCTTAATGTTTAGTGGTGATACGCTTTGGGAGGGGCATATAGCGGATGCGTTCACAGCACTAAAATCCATGATAGTACACTAGATCTAACTTAGTGCCAAAAGATATGCAAAGAGTACATCCGGACAATTGTTTTCCATGACAAATAGCAAACTTCCGAGCAGCATTTCTAGTACCTAGTCAACCGACACTTGGCCTTGATCACCACCCGCACCCTCCTGGGCATGTTATCTACGAGGTTAGTGCAAAACTTTATAGTGATCTACTCACACTCTTCCTGGACCCACGCTTTTGCATAAGGGGGTGAGCACTAGGAAAATTGCTAAGGATTTGAGCGTATGCAAGACTATTGTGCACGATTTCAGGTTGAATGTTATCTCTAAGACTAGCCACACTGTGGTGTGGCCAAAGATGCCATAAGTCAATTGGTCCTGTCTTATCATGGATCGTCTTCGTCGTACTGTTGTATGGTAAAATTACGAGCAGAGTGACGAAAACTAGCGTATCTGCCGCGAAACTTAGGGTAACATAGCACGTTCGACTGTGCATTCTTGTACTATTAGAATCATGCTAGGATACGTAGATCTCGTCGCGGAGCAGCAGTCGAAGAAGTCGCGACTGTTCAGAAAGAATATCCAGGTTGAGATATGGTGAGGAAAAGGGTCACTCCGACGTAACATACTCATGCTCTCCAAGCCATTCTAAGCCATGTGTCCCACCTAGGCTTGGAATGGCTTGGAGAGCATGCGTTTGTAGTACTGGAGTGACCCTCTTCCTCACTGGACCTAAACCTAGATATTCTTCCCCACCATTCAGGGCTTCTTCGACTGCTGCACCATGACGAGACCCGTAGATTTTAATGTGATTCTATTAGTGAATGGGTGCACATTCGACCGTGCTATGTTACCGTAAGTTTCGCGGCAGACACGCTGATTTTCGCCACTCTGCTTATAATTTTACCCTACAATGGTACGGCGAAGACGATTCATGATAAGACAGGACCAGACGACTTATGACATCTTTGGCCACACCTCAGCGTGGCTAGTCTCAGAGATAACATTCAATCTGAAATTGTGCACAATACTCTTGCATACGTTCAAATACTTTGCGATTTTCCTAGTGCGCACCCCCTTATGCAAAAGCGTGGGTCCAGGAAGAGTGCGAGAAGATCGCTGTAAAGGTTTGCACTAACCTCGTAGATAACAAGCCTAGGAGGGTGCGGGTGGTGATCAAGGCCAAGTGTTGGTTGACTAGGTACTAGAAACGCTGCTCGGAAGTTTGCTATTTGTCATGGGAAATAATTTTCCAGATGTACTCTTTGT